ACATAGTTCCCTCATATTTCTAGTGTGCTTTAGACTGTATCATCCGAGATTCGAAGCCCTCCACCCAACTGTGGCGGTAGGCAGCTTTGCTGTCGCCCGATTCCATACCAGGCCTAACCTATCCGGGCTGTATGTGGTCCACCACTCCAAATCCCGGGGCTTAGGTTACGGTAACCATAACTGAATAGCAGGTTTTCGTGGCTATGGGGTTTATCCCATCTGTTGATCACCACACTAAGGTATGTAATAAAAAAATGAAACACGAACTGAAAAGCTAGGAAGCACACTGTACAAATGTTTCTACCGGGTTGGGTCTCATCAGCCGTGCGAATCCATCGACTCCTCTGGGCAACAAACCCGGGAATTCACAGGCATACTGTTTACTAGGCCACCAGGCACCTATTCGTTTTCATTCTCCGTCTACTCGATATGGTACAATCTTTCTTTGTGAGCTCAGTGCACGCCTCGCACCGTGTCCACCTGATCAACTGCCTGGTAGCCTAGTGGACAGTATGCCTGTGTTCTGCCTGTGAAATCCCAGGTTCTCGATCCCCAGTTGGGTCAATGGATTCGCACGGCTGATGAGACCCATCCCAGCCGAAACACCTGTACAGTGTGCTTCCTAGCTTTTCAACTCACGTTTTATTTGCTCTTTACACGACGAAATTCTCCATTTTATATAAATACTGCACGGCAAGGTGATGCTTACGACAAGTATTCTGAATATTCCGATCGATGAAAATGTATCAAACGAAATCAAACATATGCGTACTCTGACTAACCGGGCTAAGCTGAGTTACAACAGGAGATCTGTGAACATCATTTATGATGTAGTTAGAAACGCTTGTGCAGGAAGACGAAAACAGCTGATCGGTATTCGAACACTACTATCCATGCTGCATTGCACCAGTCTGGTGTGACAATCAGACGAGCATAGTCAAATTGAGACGATGAGTGTTAGTTAACCATTGTCATGCGAGTGTTTCACCTCCACTGACTAGGATAGCTGGGGTATTTGTAACGCATAAGCTTCCGTGGTGCGCCATACTTGTCGAAACATATCGGAGGTGGTTAATGTTGGTCATAATAGACGTAAGCATGCGGTTACGAAAACCCCGACCAGACCTCTCGGACGCATCGATCGCATTACACGTGACCAACCTAATCCAAGGTCAGAGACACCAAGTTCCATGGCTGAGCGTTGCAAATAGCGGTGCTCATGCATTCACTCACCTGTTATACAGATCCATAGTTCACTTGTATTCTGCTTCTTCGTTTTAGCCTCTTCAATCTGCAGCTTCCTCACTGGTCTACCAAACGCATAATTAAAAGACAACAACCGAAAACCCAAGAATAATGGTTGTCGAAACATGACTGATGATGACGATGCTGATAAAGAAAATGATGCGCATAAGGCATTTGACGGAATACAGCCGGATGAAAAAAGTATTTCACACACCCTCCAACCCCCCAATCCCCATCCTCATTGAATCTCGCTTATTGAGGCCAGTTTCATATCAGGTGAATTGGCCATTTCAAACCCAAGATGTCTAAACCCCTTATCGGCCTACTCTGTATTAGATTCCAACTCAGGTCCATGTGCATATTATTCCACTCTCTAATGCCTACCGCGAAATACTAAGCAACATGCCAGTAGATCCGAGTAATGAACCGCGGCACTAGCACCAGCTGGAATTTTACTTCAGTACCTTTGCAGCCGAGAAAATTATCTTTTTCGAAAGAGTTTCGTTAAACTAAAATATAAATTGAAGGATTTAAGCAAATAGGTTTTTCGTTCGATCACGGATTAGATTGGCAGAGATGATTGTAATCAAGCCTACAAGAGTGGCGACATTCCACGAATCGAGGGGGTTGCAATCCTTTTATCACGGGCCGCATATCACTTTCCAGTTTGTCACGGTGCCTAAAGTCCAGAATATCGACTCAGCCTCGGGCATCGGTCTTGTGTATGTCTGTGCGTGTGTGTGTGTGTATGTGTGCATACGATTACGATGAGCACTCACCTGAATTCGAATATCCTCTTCACACCCGGCCTGGTAAATGTGCTCGTAGATTGGTGTTGCATCAAAATCCTATCAAATAAAAAAACAAAAGTTTGGAATCTGGTTCGCTTCGAAAATACAGTATTTAGTTCAGTGAGCAAAAACCATGATATGTGTATTTTCAAATATGCATAATGTTTATCATTCATCTGCTGAGTGATCGCTCGGACAGTTAGACAAACAATGAGTCTGTATCAATATATATAGACTCAAAGCTGACCGCAAACAAATGCATAAGCCGGATTAGACCGATGGGACATTAGTACTTACCTTACGACATTCTTCCGGCACATTCCAAAACAACTGATTCCATTTGCTCGCATCCAATATGGTCAGGGGAGTGGTCGGTGTTCGAGACCAATTGATCCCGGGGCGTACGGAATCGGCCAGATGCGTTTTGATCACTTTCATATAACGTGCATGAGTCAACCCTGACAATGCGGAAATCGACGGACAGAACATATCAGAACGAGGGAGAAACTGAGAGACCTGGTCGAATCACGGCAATAGACCACATGGTATATACTTTTATTAGCCAGAAATGCACAAATCCTTTTGGACAGGCAAACCTTCAGCACGCTGCGTGATAAAAACGGTGAAGTCCTGTTCGATCATCGAAGCCCAAATGGGAATTGTAATTGCGGTACCTCACGCTGATGCTTTGAGAAATTAAAATAACCAATAAGTCCTTGTAATCTGGCTTCGGGGCCATAGTCAGTTGATGACTAATATCTATAGATACTCATATTATCCACCCTGTCTAAGGAGATTCCACTTCCAGGGTGTCCAATACATCTCACCGCTCGATCGAGCCTGAAATCAAATGTCAACGAGTGTTCTGGGGGTAGCTTATAGACCACTTCATAGCTGATTTAAACTTAGGCCTTAACAAGAGATATTTGAAGAGTTTTTGTTTCAGTTCAGTTTGTACAACCATTAACTATGCACTTTCGTGCACCGGTTTTGGTTGTTGTCTTTAGCCTGCCCATTTCATTGGAGGGTTAAAAGGAAGCNACTTAGATCGCAAATAAATTGAGATGCACAAACGCAGTTATTTACACAACCCAGTCACATCAATCAGTGCATCTAGCCATCGATTAAGATGATCCTGAGGTCCCCATACAGGTAGCCTCACGCGGTCTACGTGACCGAGTCTTCCTCATGTCAGGCCTTAGTTTGAAGGCACATGACTTTTTTTCCATCCAACACCTGCCTCAGAAAACCACACACGGTGTAACACACGTTTCAACCAACGAAATCTATAGAGGTCGACTACTTGATCCAGTAGGCGATCGCGAACGCCTGGAACTCTGCGCTTAACCGCAATATTACTGATCCGATTATCCCACCAAATTTATGCGGTGATCGAAGACTGCCATTTCATCTTTATCCTATCTCCGTAGTGGCCAATTTTCTGCACTGTATACTACCACTGGCCAAACCGCTGTACCTCATACTTAACCCTTAGACAGTCGTTTGTTGCGACGGCACCATTGATGTCTCAATTTGAGCTGTTCAATTGCAGTATTAGTTCCCTACTTAGAGTGAGGTTGGGAGCAGAATCAACCCAGTCCTGTAGCCAAATGTTGCACTTTGAAGGTTCAAAACACATACAGAACATGGCTAAACTATCCAGATGTTTTGGGCACTCCTTTAAATCAGTGATTGCTCCCATCACAGAATCTATGTCAACAGAATATCCGATCTCATTTACTATTTCTCAATTCGTTTGTTTCTCTGAAACAAGGCAGGTACGTCGAATCACATGGGGCTGGACCGGTCGTATTAAAAAGTACCGGACCACAATTGATTTTTAATTCTCTGCCCCTTCGTTCCACAAACTATCTCTTCCTCCTGGGTTTGTCCATAAATTCTTCTCTCTGTTGGTCCCCTTTTATTTCTACCCTTTCCTCTCGCGCTGAGCGCAAACCGTTTCTTTACACCCAGGCATCTCTTTTTATACAAAGCTCAAATCCACCAGATGCTCAAATACTGCAGTCCCGTGTGGGACGGAGCTTCGTATTCCGCTCTTTCTCTTCTTGACCGTGTTTAACGTAAGGTCATTTGGCTGATCGACGAACCGTCTTTAACTTCCGACGTACAGTCGCTTTCCCATCACGGGGAAGTTGCTTCGTTATCTCTTTTCTATCGTTTCTATTTTGGTTTCTGCTCTTCCAAACTCGCTTCAGCGGTTCCTCTTCCATTGACCTTCTCTCGTCCATCTCGTTCTTAGGCGGGCAGTCACTCTATCAGGTGTCTGAAATCAGACATCGGACTTCTATCTTTCAACCTTCTCTTTTCCCGAGGACTGCGAAATTGTGGAACGCTCTTCCCACTTCCGTGTTTCCCAGCTCTTATAACCTTACCGTTTTCAAAAGAAGGATTAACAAATTGATTCGTACTCGAATGTTCCCCCACATACCTCCCTCTTACAGTATATCATTGATTATGGGGTTTACCCCTTCTTCTGTAAATCACTTCATGAGTAATAAAAAAACACAAAACGGCTTAGTGGTGGGCTACAGTCGCTAATCCCGTAACTGATACGAACCACTGAGTACATCGAACTAATTCATTTTGATCCACCTGAAGCATGAACTATGTTTGCCGTCAAACCGCTCGCTGAGGTGATTGCATCCCGCATCGTGTGGTCAAAATAGTACGTTACATTTTCAAAGCGGAATTGATCGCGTATATAGCAAATAACTCGTAAACTATAAAGCTATAAAGCTGTTTAGATCTGCTGAGATGAGCAAGGTCCATAACCCGCAACAAGTTATCAATGATGGGTTGTGCTATATCGTGTAAATGGAAAGTGAACAATGGTTTGATCAGCTACCCGGTGGCCGAGTGGGTAGCATGCTTGCGTTCTGCCTGTTAAGTCCCTGGTTCCATCCGCAGTTGGATCGATAGATTCGTACAGAGTTCCAATCGGGTCGGAACATCTGTCCAGTGTTCCCTAGCTTTTCTTTTCACGCTTTATTTTCTCTATACACGACCGATTCCGTCTCTGAAATTGAATCATGTCCTCCATTACTCTTATCAATACGTTACAATTGTCTCTTTACCATTTTCATCTGTCGCTTACAAGAACACATGACGAGTATCTAAATAACAGTTGCTGGCGGGAAACAACGATCACGTGACTGTGATTCACTAAAACAAACTTATATTTCATCCCACCCACCCCCTCCGCACTCATGTGATGCGCCTTCACTCATCCTTTTCACTTTAACCCAAATGGTTGTGCATTATTCGATCATATCTTGTGCGAGGCAAGTTGTCCCGGCTTTAAATCAAGGTGTCCGCGAGTCAGTTCAAGTTGTGTCATCATTATCATCATCATTTCAAATTGCCCCCAGCAGCGTGTCAATGTGTCTCGCTGAGACAATCAACACATGTATCCGCTCAATCCATTCTGTTGAAAATACATATTTTTAAGCCACAGTATGTGTATATCATAATACAAGAAAATTCCTAATCCTCTCATTGATTGACCGATTACGGCCAATTGCCTATGAAATGACCCACAACACCTTTCGAAGATTGCCGCGGCATATTCAGTGGTTCAAGCCTGAAAGTTGACGCGTGTATAGTCATGAGACTTCCGAAGTACTGGACCCAAAATGGGAGTGGATTTTATTCCTTATATTAGATCCAACTAGGAGTACATTCTCATGGTTCATGATACTTTGGAGAAATGTGAACGCTGAATGACTACGGAGATCAGTTATCTCATCAACCTCGAATTCCTAGGGTTGTGTTCGAATTCCGTCTCAACAATCGAAATATGCTGAAAGGCCGAAAACTATGCATTGGGTGCCATCGAGCATGTTCTCCTCCCATATCCCTTTTATGTTTTCATTCGACCAACAAACAGGCATGTGCCGTCTGATTTCCTGTTCTTTGTTCTATTATCCATGCAACCCAAATGCGCTTTGTTTGCCCCAGATGCAAACAATGAATAACATTTATGGTTCAGCGAAAATCCGTGATCATGAGTATTGTCTGACAACAAG